TGACAGCATTAGTGTCTTCTGTAGGTTTTATATGAATTAATCCCTAATCCCTATAATCTCAGAATAAATACAAGATTTCTATTGTTTTAGCCACTGTGAACTTGACCCTTGACCTTTTGGCCCCAAATTCAATAGGCTTCTTAGGATTACCAAGAACAATCCACAAACCAAATTTGAAGTTCATATGTTAAGTATTTCTCAAGTTATCGCGCTGACAAGATTTCTATTGTTTTAGCCACTGTGAACTTGACACTTGACCTTTTGACCCCAAATGCAATAGGCTTCTTAGGATTGCCAAGAACAATCCACAAACCAAATTTGAAGTTCACATGTAAAGTATTTCTCAAGTTATCGCGCTGACAAGATTTCTATTGTTTTAGCCACTGTGAACTTGACCTTTGGCCTTTTGGCCCCAAATGCAAAAGGCTTCTTAGGATTGCCAAAAACAATCCACAAACCAAATTTGAAGTTCACATGTAAAGTATTTCTCAAGTTATCGCGCTGACAAGATTTCTATTGTTTTAGCCACTGTGAACTTGACCTTTGGCCTTTTGGCCCCAAATGTGAAAGGCTTCTTAGGATTGCCAAAAACAATCCACAAACCAAATTTGAAGTTCACATGTAAAGTATTTCTCCAGTTATCGCGCTGACAAGATTTCTATTGTTTTAGCCACTGTGAACTTGACCTTTGGCCTTTTGGCTCCAAATGCGAAAGGCTTCTTAGGATTATCAAGAACAATCCACAAACCAAATTTGAAGTTCATATGTCAAGTATTTCTCAAGTTATCGCGCTGACAAGATTTGTCCGGACACACACACCCACACACCCACCCACCCACACACACACCCACACACCCACCCACCCACCCACCCACGGAAGGACAAGGCGGAAACAGTATGCCCCTTCGGCTTCGCCGCGGGGCATAAAAACCCTAAACATGTGAGATGCCTCTTCTTTCTTTTAAAATATGACATCTGTTTGACTGAAACTGTAACTTTATTTTTACCGGTGCTTGAATGTCAACCTTTAACAACAGTGATTGGGACCAGGGTCCCTTTCATGTTTTAAAAAAAGTACTGTCTGTCTTTTTTTCAACACGGGAAAATGTTTGATCAATTTTTCAATTTGTAGGTCCAGTTTAATAATGTACTGTTCATGTTTTGTTTTTTCAATATCTTTTGTTTTAAACCCCCTTCAAAATGTTTGAACTGCAATATTTCTAGCAATACAAGAGTTACTCACTTTCGAATAAGACAGTTCAAAAATAATAAAGTAATACGTGGGTCAATTTTTGTTTTCATCTGATATCTAAATCAAAAGAGAAAACAACTTTTTATTTCTAGAAAAGTAGAAATCATTGTTATGGAGAAGATTAGGGACAATTTCACGGAACTTGCAGAGCACAGATATTTGCTAAGTGGCAAAAATGATATGATTGCAACATCACAAGCTACGAGAGATGAACAGTTATGCAATGCACATTGTTCGTAACTGGTTGCAGCTGATTCGTGCTAAACACAAAAAAATGCTTAGCACATTTTCTTAGCTGTTCCACGAAATTGTGCCTAAGTCATCTGTCTACTCCACCGACAGTACATGTACACAGTAATATTTATGTCAAGACTGTTATCAAAAGAAAGCTTGATACGAGAAACAAGAATCACAATCTTACAATTTTCTCAATAAATATATCGTACCTCTGTCAATCTACATACATAATTACAAGAAAATATTGACCCTTTGCTTAGAGCGCCCTCACTGAGGTTAGGCCCGCGTCCCACTCGCGCAAATGTTCTTTCTTTCTGTATATCAAAAGGAAAATCATTTGCCAACAATCATGGCAATGTTTGTGTAAGTGCTTTTTTTTTTTTTTTTTAAATTCAGTGCCAATGCAAGTACCGAGTGTCTACGCATGCGTATCACTGGGGAACGCGGATCTGCAAACAGCGAGGGCGCTCTATGCACAGGGTCTATTTATTTACAATTCGAAGCGAATGAGTAATCAAAGTCTATAATTACATTTGTAATATCTGGGAAAAAAATATATTAGAGAGTAAATCAGAGCTTGAATGTACATCAATTGACAAGTATATGCAAATAAATAGAATCAGGTAAAGTGATAGACCTTTGATTTTCTTTTTACAATTTTGAAAATTGCTAACTTTTTGCAACAAACTCTTTGTTGATGATAAAGATACAAAGCAGCACAGCAGCTAGTGAAGCTACATATATTTTGTACATGGTAGACCTCTGCCACAACTTTTATGATCCCAGGAGATTCCTTTTCAAAAGCAATTCAGAGCATTTAGAAGCATCTTCAGAAATTATTCTTCATAAAAGAAAAAGGCTGGGGGTTAAAAACTGGAATTATCAAATATCTTTCTTGACATTTTTGCCTCTTTACGAATAAATTAACCCTCCTATGCAAACATGAACTCTGTGCAAAGTTGTCCTCTCAGTCAAAATTAGTCAAGCGTCTGTTTTTAACGGTTGAATGGTGCCTGCCTATATAAAGCAGGATTGACTGGCTGTGACTGTTTATGTAACTTGATACAGCTATGTTTTGACTGTAGGTGATTGATGTGACAGCTGTGCCTACACCAGTTGCCTGCTTTTGTCTGTTGAATGAATTTAACTAGTCACAGTGCTTGCTTGAAATATGATCCGACTGTTGGTAACTAGTCTGTGTATAAAGGCATGGCAGGGGAAGAGGATTGATTTTTTGACTGTCTGTGACTGTTCAGACAGCAGGAGGGTTAATATAGGAAAAAGAGGATACCTCAAAGGATACACAATAGGCCTAAAAATGAAAGCAGCGTTCTCTTTGCATAATAAACAGTGGTTTCCTTTTTGTACGATTTCAAAGCGTTTCTTGCTCTGTTTCATGGTTCTTCAAACTTAAACGGATTGAATTCCAAACCACAAAACAGCTGCTACGGTTACTTTCAAGCTATAGTATAAATGCTTTGGTATGATCTTGGCCAATAGATCTCTCTCACAGGACGCCATCTTCGTAGGAAAATTACAACTGCGTGTTCAACCCCATCAGGTGCATTTGCACAATGTTCTAAACACTCGTGCATGTCGCTCAAAATTTCTTCGAAACGCGCGTCACGAAAATATGACACCCAAATTGCCCATGTGGCAATCCGTAGGAAGTGACGTCATTTGAGAGAGACCTATTATATAAGTTTACATTTTTGTACAGCTTTTGTGAACTTTGGTCAACATAAATATACGAAATCACAATATTTGCAGAATGAAATGACCAGAATGACCCTACGCATGGCAAAATCATATAGAGGGAGGGTTTACTGTGTTCAAAAATACATAAATAAATAAATAAAACAAAACTTTTTCAAAAATCTCAAGAAAAAGAAAAAAAACGGAACAAAAAAACAGAAAAAAAAATCTCATAAAGCATCTAATAATGTTCTGTTTTTCAGCTGATAAACAATATCAAATCGGGACACTGGGTATTCCTTCGTCTTTTTTGCAGAAGTATTTTCTTTGTTTTTGTTTTATTTTTGGAGGGGGCTTTCCTCTTCATCTGCTATTGGTGGAGTAATAACTCACTGTACTTCCTATTTCATGTAATGTACACTGCCGACAGCTCGTTAGAGTCAAAATACAATTTTTTGAATTGGTTCTGTGTTGTAAACTCATTTATCCAATGCAGCAGAAATGCCACTAATGTACAAATGATTGGTCCAATGTAATTATACTTGCTACCAACTGTGGACAACATTGCAACAACAAAAAAATCAACGTAATTCACTAGAACACTCATTCATGTAATATAAAAGAACACAATGCCTACAATTTAATATACAGTTTACTTTAGTACTCAACATAAATGCATCTGATACGCGTATTAAAGTTTGAACTTTGTCCAAATTTATCACAAATTGCTGTCTAATTTGGGCGTTGGCTACCTGCCATACATATATATTTGATCTTTGCTTTGCGCAAAACAAATACGAGAGTTGTACAAAATATGAACATTGTATGAATATATGAATACTACTGAACTAGAAACATCACTAGACTGAAATCCAAATTTGTACACAAGCACTGCACTGGTAGGAACATGCCAACAGAAAAAAATCTGACATTTAGGATTGATTTCAGGCGGAACGAATAAACAAATTATAAGAAGAAAGAGTCCATCAAACAACACAATTACAGCTGCAGAGCCATTATGCAAAACCGGCAAATATGTAAATAACACAAGAAGCAAGTATTTGGCTGGACAGATTTCAGCAGAGAAAGTCTCAGACTTATAGTGTCGATGAATTACCACAGGACAGTGTTGTACTAGCTACACTTTCTTTTCCAATATCCCAAGTATTCTGTAATACCAGGTTGTATACATGTACACATTGGCTGTATGCCAAACAAAAACCTATCCTTTTCAATTCTATTATAAGATGGTGGTCGAGTGGTAAGACACTTGCACTAGAAAACAGGAGGTTGTGGGTTCGAGTCCCACCCGAGTGATTTTTTCCAACTTTCACTCGGGAGGTAACACACTGAGTATACAGCGTTTGAACGTCGGTGAAGGGCAAAACCTAATTTGATTTAAATCACCCCGACTCAAAATTCCATCTGATAATAGTTTATGCGGTACCCGCTGCTATGTACATCAGATAAGAACCAGCCAACCGAACTTGTTAGCTCGGTGGTCGAGTGGTAAGACACTTGCACTAGAAAGCAAGAGGTCGTGGGTTCAAGTCCCACCCGAGTGATTTTTTTCAAACTTTTACTCGGGAGGTAACACACTGAGTATTCAGTGTTTAAACGTCGGTGAAGGGCAAAACCTAATTTCATTTCAATTCTGATACTGTAATATTAGCCCGGGTATGAACTCTTGATCCATACATTGGGGGGAAAAATGTGGAAACAAAATTTCAAAACTTATCAGAATGAAATTGCTGGAACTTGCTATATATGCATTACGCACTTTTCACATCATAACAACGACAACTTTGTAATTCTGAAAAGTTCTAGACAACTTACCGCCAAAAAACATTCAAACTTTACAGTGACCTACGTGCACAAACATGTAACTGGAAAATGGAAAAGAATGGTTAAGTACATGTACACGTTTATGTATTTGGTTTCTCTTAACTCTCTGCATGTATGTTGAAACCTATTCGCTTGTGTTGCATCAAAATCAGTATCGGTAAAGTTCTCCACAACGTACGACAAAAGATTAGAGTCTCAACAATGACTTGCAATAAAGGCACATAGGATCATTTGCTTTTTCTGCATTTTTCTTCTTCGTTTGAAGCAACAAAATTGCTCAAAATCTTAAGAAGGGTGCATACCAACCAACTTGTTGAAGTTTCAGCTCAGTGGATACTATACCTTTTGAGAAAACAGAGAACATATATGCTCAATTTGCAGGGTCTCATAGGCTATAAACTGGATTCCATTGCTAACGCAAGTAAAAAAAAACCTGTGCCCTATGACAGATTTCCTTACTAACCACCTTAATGATTGTTTTCTTCAAAACCATACCATTTTAGGCAGAATAATTTCACAGGGTATTTAGTACTAGTCCTATCTTCACTTTGAGCAATGATTTCCCTGTTTGGTTGTTAGGTACGCTTTCGGGAAATTGCAAATGTTCCTATGTGCCTTTACAGAATGGATACCTTTTTTTAAATTTTTTTTAGGATCTCCGCACATTTTCCGAGACTAACACATTCCGTTGTGATGTATCAACAACTAGCCTCGTCACGCAGCCACGTTTTTCAGCAAAACATTCCACAACTATATACTGACATCAAAGATAAACATCTGCATCACAAGTGAACAGAAAAGTAGGGACGAATGTTGGTTTTTCAGGACTCTCCTAGCGTGTTTCGGAGATGCCGGGACTAACACATCCCATTGGGACGTATCAACATCTAGCCTCGACACGCAGTCACGTTTCTCAGCAAAGTTCTCCACAACTATATACTGACATCAAAGATAAACATCTGCATCACAAGTAAACAGAAAAAAAAAACCGAATGTTGTTTTTTTCCGGGACTCTCCTAGCGTGTTTCAGAGGTGCTGGGACAGACGCATCCCACTGCGTCGTACCACCAACTAGCCTCAACTCGCAGCCACGTTTTCCAGCTAAGTTCTCCACAACTTACTGACACAAAATATAAACATCTGCATCACTAGAAAACAGAAAAGAAAGGATGAAGGTTGATTTTTCAGTACTCTCCGACTTCCGAGTACTTTTTGGAGATGCTTGGGCTGGAACATCCCACTGCGTCGTACCACTAACTGGCCTCGTCGCGCAGCCACGTTTTGGCCTCCGCTACCTCCTTGGTCACCACGAGCAACAGCTCGCATCCTTTGCGTCTCAGCTCCGCCTCGAGGAAACCCCGTAGCTTTGAGGAGTCCCCGATCTTGGCGGGCTTGCTCAGTTTGGAGTCCAGGTTGTAGTAGGTGCCCTCGATCTGCCGGACGGCGATCCAGTGTTTGCGGCGGAGGGGAACGCTGACGAAGCCCAGCTGCATGGGTGAGGGAATGTTGACGATGAAGCCGATCAGAACTTCCAATCGGAGCGCCTCCAGACACCTGGTCAATATAGAACCAATGAAAAAACGATACTGAAACCAGACTGATAGGGTTTATATATACCAAAATGCTCACTCCCCTCAACTTGAATAATGATCTGATACACCGTGCCCTCTGGAGACGTGCACACAATAGGGAACAAAAGATTGTATACGTCTCCACAGGGCAATTTCTATAGATGAATACGTCTCCACAAGGTTTTCACGAAATAGATATATGGATTTTACTCAAAAAATAGGTATTTCCAAGGTGGGTTGATCTGTCGCAAATGGAAGAGTTTTTGTAAAAGGGATATTAAGTTCGAATTTCAGCCAAGGAAATTAATTCTGGTTAAAATAAGAGCATTTTCAAACTTCACTTTTAAACTCGAAAACTCGAAAACTACACGAGAACAAAGGAGAACAATTTGTATCTACAAGGATACAAATTTCAGTATGTGTGAACGTGTCATGTGTGTGTGAGCAGTGATAGCTTCTTTTCGTTCACTGGATAAATCTTTATGCAAGGAGTCGGTCTTGGTACTGTCAAGTAGCCTCTTTGAGGCAAATGCTCATTTCACACCGTAATGCACACCACTTTTATTTCACCACATACAAATGTATTTCACTTCTTTCATTGGTCAATGTTGCAACGCGCCAGGAGTGTAAAAATAGCGATCTTATGAATGAAGCAATGTATGCCTCATAAATATTCATGAGCAAGAGCTAAATTCTCACTGGTCCATTCACCATCACGTGTCAACTGCTAGTTTTGCTGTTTACCAAGCTGTTTACACGAGGATTCGTAGTGGGATTCACGCACAGGGTAAATACATGTACGTATGAATAGTAGACTAGCGTTTGCTAATCTACTAGGCATGTACTTTATGAAGCAATCATGGAACTAGCGTACAAGGGTAGTGCGCACGTGGGAACATCATCATACCTAGTACCACATGAAAAGATGGGCACAAACAGCAAAATTTTGTCAAGATAACTTATGTATACAACTTTTGACTACCTCCCTCAGCTTTGCGTCAGGAGGTGGTCAAATCAGCCAACACCTCATGACCAGTCATGTTTTACTGCTTCCCCTCAACCCTGCTGTACAGCACGTCCCAAAATACTCGCAAATTTTTTTTGCAAGGCTCTAGCGTCGGCACGGAAACACGTACCGCCATTATATGTAAACCATTCTAGTAAACCAGGCGAGTATTGATTTGATATTTAAAAGAGTTTTAAAATTATTCTTGTTCAAATAAAGGCATGTCGAAAACAAACTCAACTGGTTTCAAGGAAAATCGATGATGCGGTACATCAGATACAAACGCGAGTCACACTCTGAGCCTGCTTTTTGAGTAGGTACACACTTGCAGGTGAATTTCAAATTTGAACTTAAAACGAAGAACAGTGTTGTGAATTCATTTAAGGTGTAGTCTACGTGGACCGAACAGAATAGGAAACACAGAAAGTAAAAGGCAACAAGATCGTCACATCATGAACATGATGAACCATTTCCACATCTATAGAAAAAATTCGCATGATTGATTTTCCGTGAAATCCATTGAGTTTGTTTTTTGACCTGCCTTTATTTGAAAACGAATCATTTCAAAACCCTTTTGAAAATCAAACCAATACTTACAAGGGATAAAGTTAAGATTCCAACCTTTAAAAATGATATAAAAATAATGGCGGTACGTGTTTCTGCACCAACACTTGAGCCTCGCAAAAAAAAATGTTGCAGGTATTTTGGGACGCACTGTACATTTGTACACCAACATTTACCTTCGTTTATCCCACCACACAGCCTCGCAGTCCTTGTGCTGCAGAGCGGCCATGATGACGTTGACGTCGTAATTGCCCAATCCCAGCATGCTCTTGTGCGGATTCAAGACCGTACCGGGGGAGAGACTGCAAGAAATGAAATAATGGAACAATATTTACCTCCTTGACCCCGGATTCGAAAATCCCTAAACCTAAAGAAAACCTTTCTTGAGCAAGAGGACGCCTTATCTTTAGGACAAACTATATTAACCCTAACTCCCTAGAATGATTTACTAAGAACCTTCCTCATCCTTTCAAATCCCAACACCATATGGTAAAATGTGCACATGAACAGTTGGACTCTGTTTATTTGTGGTATGCCTAATCCAACCCAAAGCACAGTCAGTTTACTAGTGCAGTACTCATCCTAACAGATTCCGACAAACCATGGTGTTGGAGTTTGGCTGGTTGGGGATCGTTAGGGTTAATTGAGTTTGGGACACTCAGAAGTACATGTAACTCCAAGTAAGCTTTAACCCCAAACCACCCCCAACCCTTCAAAAATCCAACTGCATGTTTTGTTGGAATCTGTTGGAGTGAGTACTGCACTAGTCAAGTGATTACGCTTTACATGGGGTCAGGCATACCACCATAATCAGAGTCCAACAGTTTGGGTGTAGAGCTTGCCATATGGTGTTGGATTTTGCAAGAGGAAGGTTCCTAGTAAATCATTCAATGGGTTACTTTGGGGATAAACGCAACTGATCCTAAATGCCTTTTAAAAAGTTTTAAGGCAGGCAGTCACTGACAAATGCGGTAAAACAACCCATGGGGGTACGTGTTAACATTTTGCACACAAGAGTGAAGCCAAGGGATTGATATGTGAAGCCTACACAGTATTGAGAGTTCCAAAGTTTCGGACTAAACCAAGACGAAGGCCTCCATGGCTTACTTTTGACACAACTCATCCAGGACTTGCTTGCTGAAGGCCTGGCTGTCCTGAAACACGTTATTGAGGGCGTGTAAGGCGCACAACTCCCACTTCTGACGTTCATGGTACACCGACATGATGGGCAGGATATCTCACAGGCCCCTGCTGCCTATTAGCATGAGAAGGGGGCTGTGTTGCCAAATGGGGCAGCTAATCTTGTAGTAAGCAAAAGACAAATCTGGGGGAAAAACTTTTAAAACAAAGAAATAAAAAGGCAACAAGGGTTACTTAAGCAGTATAAGCACCAATCATACGAAATCGGCCTACATCGAAGTTTTGGGGATTGTGGAGTTCAGGACCCTGTTCCTATAAAGCCAGCCTCAGGTCGACCCGCGATTTTCTTGCGCCACGACGGAACTGTCGGCATCAAGCACAACAATTACGCTCAGGTCACAAAAGAGAGAAATCGTGTGACGGTCGCGGAACACGTCAAAGAAGTTGAAATTTTTCTATTCTTGCGACTGGTGATTTCTTTGAGCGCCAAAAAATCGGCGACTGACTTGTTTCCGACAGTCGTAGCTCAGGTGCAGCTTGATCCTGTAAAGCCAAGTCAGTCACCGACTGATCTGTGCCCTCCCAAGGTCGACCTGAGGCTGGCTTAAGAGAACGAAAATCCATTTGTAACTTTGTGGACTCGCGTAAGTAGATGGCGATAATGTTACACCCCAACTGCGGCATTGGCCTAACTATACCTGGGCTGGCTCCAATCGTAGTTGGGGCTGGTTCCAACTGCGACGGAGTAGGGAAATCCCAAAATTAAACCTGCTGATATTCAAGAAGGTATAATTACCAACTGTTCAGATGTGCCAAGAAATATTGGCGATCGTGAAGTGTAGGGCCCGGTCCCTATAAGGGAACAAAATCCACTTTAGAGTTATTGGACCTACCAAACTAGTTGGCGACATTCTCAATAAACAGGTATTTCATAGATAGAGGGCAGGGTTTTGATCTTCGCAGTGGCTATTGTTACGGCAGCCGTAACGCATTTCCCATTTTCTATCGTTACGGTAGACTGCAACCTGGCAACTTTTATAAAAAAACATGACAAGAAAATATAAAATTAGAAGGAAAAAAGTGAATTTGAACTTTATGAAATTCGGACTTTATTTCCCTTTTAAAAAAAATCCTCCAAAGCCTCAGGTTAGAAAAGGAAAAAAATTCGAGTGCAAAACTGAGATTCGAACCCGCAACCTCGCGGTGCGAAATCCTACCCTCTATCGGCTGAGCTGGCGCACTGCTCGATAAAACGTGTGGAAACAAATAATTATATACCTGCGTGCGTATCAAAAAAATATCGTAGAGGGCGCTAAACAACGAGTGCCGTAACGATAGCCACTTCGTTTGATCTTTTGAGGGACATTTGGGGGTAAAATGACGATGACAGCACGGCGAAAACACGCGACCCGAAAATAAAGATGGCGATCACCGCGCGATGCACCGTGAGCACGCACGGCGCGCTGTATCGCAAGGCACCAACCGTGCAGGAAAATCGTGATTTCTACCCCAAGAATCTGTTCAAAATTGCAAAACGGGTGTCATTAGAATTGAAAAAAGTCTGCTTTTGATTGTAAAAGTGATTTTTGAGCAATAAAAAAAATGTTTTACTCTAATTTGATCAAAATAAAACAGGGGCCCTACACTACTTCACGATCGCCGAAATGTCAGAATGTCACTTTTGAGTGTCATTTATTCAGTTGTTTTGGCGAGTCTTTTAGTTTTACCTTATATAGGAACGGGGTCCTATTAAAGATAAGGATTACCAATGGTTCTTGAGTCTGACGTGCTGAATGGCAACACATACACGACATAGCAACCGATGAAATGAAAAAAAAAAATGAAATTGTTTTCAATCGGTCATTTCTTTTTCATGATTTTGTCGGTTGACTCCGCCCCGATCTATTGCTTATTTCCGACTTTACTAGCGCCAAACCATGATAAAAGCATTTTACAAAAGACGACCAGATAGCAGAAAAACCTACCGCGTTCAGCTGCAACCTTTGAGAATGAGAAATTGTCCCCAATTTTCTTTTTTATATCAATGACGGAATGAAATGGAAGTGGAACCGAAACTTGCTGGTGGCCATCTTTGCCCTCCTGTCTAAATTAGAACGCTGAGGGCGCTGTTATTTGTTATGATTTGCACGTCGCAGCGGCGTGGGCGTGTCGCATATTATGTCTGTGGTCGCAGGGCGCCTCGTAAAGGGCGTGTCTGTGTGTAAAGATATCGGGAGGGGACCCGAGTGAAATTACATTAGCCAAAAGTAACTGTTCATGCCAAAAAATCAACAGTCTAAAAGTCCTGCTTTTTTTTCTTTTACTGAATCCTTAAACTTTAAGTGAAACCCTCACAATTAGATTGGTTCCCGGTCCATCATTGTCCTAGGGACTTCGAATGTAGGGTGCTAGTCTACCTCAGAACTTGAGATGACTGTGGGTGCATCCCTGCAATAAAACACTAGCGCTACATGCCAATACTTCAAAATTCTTTTAAAAATACTCAGAACTCTCACAGGTATTCAAGCTGCGCTGGAAAAACGATGATCAACATGTCATCTTTCATTTTCTTTTCATTTTTTTTAGTGGGTTGACCATTGACTTTTCGAGGAATTCTCACTCAAAGACGATGACCCCTATTTTCCCCAAAGCGGAAAATTAGCCATCTTCAAAAACGATCCCTCCACAACATGGCAAAATAGTGCCACTTTCGAGCCCAATTGCATCCAAAAATGCTCAAATTGGAAGCCCCAAATCCGGGCCAGAGGTTCATTGCCATATCTCTTCTCTTCCTCAAATTTGTCGCTCTCGGAACTCTCTAATATAGAATATTTTGAGGCATTCATGAGCTCGGCGGATGGGTTTAAGCCTATTTACCGCTTTGCACCCTTGTATTGCCTGTTTTCACTTATTTTAAAACACGCAGACAGTACATCTAAATAGACACACTTATCTTACAAAAGTCATACCTTACAGATATGTACTGTTCTTGTTTTTCAACAATTACTTCCTAGCGAAATTTGAATTTGTGTGTTTTATTGTAAGTGTTCAAAAATACTGTTTATCCCTCGTTCCCACCACCCTATCCCTGGGTTATTGGGGGGGGGGGGGGGGCGAAATTCTCACACCCTTCCCAGTCACTAAATAAAACACACTACCGCCCTCTATTGAGAGAGGGCGTGCTTCAATAGCTCTGCTGAACACTCACAATTTCAAGTTGGATTCAAAATCAAGTGGCATCCCAAATTTGGGATGCAAGCCTTCAACTTTGCACTCAGATTTTCACTATAAAAAGGACAAACAGATGTCATTCATGTTCAATTACAGGCCCTACTTCTTTTGTGGTACTTTATTATGATGATTCACACACAGACTATAGTTGACTTAACGCCATAGACTAACAGTCAACATCATTGTCCGAGAGTGCGGGGAAACGAGTTCTGATAAAAAGGTCAACAAAAAAGTTCAAAGTTTTTCACAGTGTTATGACAACCTAGAGATCCGTGCTGATTGGAACTCTCCATAATAAAAACCATACCGCCCCACACATCCTAGCCCCCCTTCAAATAATACCCCAACATACAAATAGGCACTTAGCTTGCCCTTGGAAAATATTTGCTTAAATCTATTTTCTTTTGCCCGACCCTTTTCCACATTCTTTGCACGGCAGCAACTTTATCTCTTATACAAATTCTCACCAGTCCCCCCAGGTGAAAGACGATTGCGTCCCGTGGTGCTTTTGTGACGGGCCCCGCTTAATGCGCCGTGCCCGACAACAGCTGATTGCGCCGATTCAATGGGAATATTATTTTCAGATATTCTGAACTTTGAGCCGGGCGCTTTATTATTGTTGTGTAGGGCTGAAAGATGCAACATTATTCCCAGCTGTACCATATCGTTGAATGGTAGTTAGTATACTCTTGTGTGCTATCTGAGACCAGGAGTCAATCACACTGGAGATTAGCCTCTGTCGGTTCGCACGCTGGGTAAACCTAAACTCTCAACCACTAACGAGGACAACTTTATAGATTTTTTTCACGCCAGGAGTTGACAACGAACGACATAATCACCTTTAATTTGCTGGAACGACTGGTCGTGACGCAGTGCATGCAGTGATCTATTTGCCATTGCGCTGTATAGAAACTTACAAGAGAATATTACTCCTGAGGAATTTGTATACCTGAACAGTCTTCCTTACAAAACAGCCATGACAAACCAAGCTGGGTAAGTAATTTTCCTACACTTAAAAATAGATCTTACTTTCTTCTTTCTTTGACTATTTTTCCAATCAAAATCAGAAAATGTCCTGTAACAGATCTTCAGGTATAAATATCATAAGTCATAACCTTTAAAGTGTCTTCTGGAGAGAATTTAAAGATAACATAAAACGGATAACTAAGGTTGAAAATGAAGTCTTTTTGTTGTCTCTGTATACTGGTAATCGATTATTGGGATCACTAATCAAAAATGTCGACTGCTGTTCAATGATTCCACGCATAAAATAATAGAATCACCATAAAAGAAGCACCACAGAACTGTTATAGAACCGTTCACAGTCGATAGTCATGGACTTCAATTCATTACTAGTGTTTAAAAATGTGTTGCATTATTATTTGTCGAAAGGTGTTGTTTCTCTGAAAATGCAAACACTTCTGATTGTGGTCTGAGAAGAATTGACATATCTTTAATTAACCTATCGGGGTAACGTACACGATTCCGTAGGGTTGTCTTACGGGCGTGGCTAACTCGCAAACGGCGATATACGTTAATTTTGCCTCTTGACAATTTATTTGTAAACAACATTGTAAAAGGATTATATTAAAGGAATCAAAATAGACTATGTAACATAGCTTCTTTTCTATTCATGAGTGAATCCAAGAATCATGACCAATACATTTTTTTGGCAAACATTTTGCAAAAATCCACGAGAATTGTGCAAAAACACGTGTTTGTTATGACAGAATAATAACTGAATGGAGGTGACAACTTCGTAAAATAAAAATGTCCTTTTTAAAAAAAAATTCCCGGCAATATTGGGTTGCCTAACTGCGTACACGATTAAACTACGAGCTGTTGAGATTGTTCGAGTTTCATTTATACAGGTTATAGGCCTGATACATTTATTCCATGGTTCGTTCAAGGCCTTGACCCTGAATTGATCATGCCTAACCATTGCGGAAAATATCTTCCCTATATTTAATATTTGATCCGTGAGACGATGAGGAAGCATATTACAGGCCTAATTAAGCATGCACGTCACGCCGCAAACTGTCGTGCTTGCCAACTGGAAAACCATTTCTAAGCCTACGTTCATTGTCCAAAAGCCATACCCCGCAGGCAACTGCGCGCAGGGGCAGGCATTATTCTGTTGAGAACTTTTTTGGCTAGTAGTGGTGCTGGAAGTTTGTAAGTCACCTTACGTGTTAAAAAAAAATGACCTAGAAAAACAAGTTGCGTACTAGTTTGCATGTTGTTCAATTTGCTTGAACTTGGTCACCTATCATGCATGCACACTACTATAATTCGGACAACATCATTTTGAATATAATACAATGAAAGTTGAATACACGTAAGTTATCAGCAATGAAATGAAAGTTAATTCTAAATAAATGTAACAATCTACTCTGATGAATAATTAGGAAAATGTGATTAAGCATATCCTAATGTTTTAAGCCACATTATAAAAACAAACATTGAAAGCGAGGCGTGCATAAAATAGTCTGGCACCATCCCATTCAACAGCTTACAATGTATAAAATAGACTCAGGGAACACGATCAAGCTTCCTCGTGGTTAAGGTTATTATTGATTCTGACGTATTCGGCAATATCTGATTACACGTTTCTTAACAATCTCATTTTTGGATGTGGGTCATTGAAAAAAAAAAGTTCTTGCGAAAGTGACAAGGTTAAACCGCAAATTCCAGGCATAGCATATTTTCTATTAAACTAACCATGGATCACTATTTGGAGGTATCCGCCTATTTGGAGGTATCCGTCACAATAGTCTTCAACGGTATTGGAGAACGACAAAGCGAACAGTTGCGAATAATTCATGACGAATGTGTCTGCTTATTTACGCTCCATGTTTTGAACGTCTGTATTACAGGAAATCCGCATGATGACTTACATTATTACATAGAAAAATGTCGACGAGTCATGTTCGTTCACATATCTGACGCAGAAGCATATTGCCTATACGTATTAAGCTATGTCGAATTATGAGGAAAAAACGTTCAATTGCTGACTGGCGTCGCATACGATGCTTGCAAAACAAGTGGCAATTCCGCGGCCGGGAATCATGGCCCAACAATCTAAACAAGTGCGAGTGCAAAATAAGCTCTGGCGAAAAGTGCGACGCCGATGGCACATATGAAACACCATACTTTGTGTCCGTTTTGAGGACCTTTCCTCCTTCTGGAGGTCCAACCACTCCACAAAATGGCGTCCACCTTGTCCGACCAGGAAGATGTTGTACAGCGCCTGTGCGAGTGCACGATAAGCTCTGGCCGTGTTGCAAGGAGTCATGCAAGAAAGTCTTGCATGAAATCGATCAAAATGATAGTTATCATGCCCCTAAGCTGGTAGAAATAGGTAGTGGCCATAATGGTACTCCTAGGAGGATACAAAAAAGTGCGAGTGTACAATAAGCTCTGGCCGTGTTGCAAGAAGTCTTGCATGACAGTCTCGCATGAAATCGATCAAAATGATTTCTGCCAGAGCTGATTAATAAGACGCCGAAAAATGCAACGCGCATGGCACATATGGAACACCATACTTTTGGTCAATTTTCCGGGGACAGACAGACTGACCGACCGACCAACCACCAAGTGACGTGGTAGAAGCTCCTACCAGAACTGAATAAGAGCAAGTGAAGCCTCGTTTTCGAAAAGATGCATGTGAGACTTGAATCAAGACTAGTACTCCTGCGGCTCAATTTCAGAGGGCCACATTTTTTTTAAAGAACTTAAAGCCAGCGTGCATATATTATCATTATTTCATGGTTATGGCACATTGCAAATAAAATCGCCTCAAAAATGCAAGAGGCAAAATGAACGACTTTCGCATAGGCCGTGGCAAGTTCACGGACCAATTCCTGTAGTTTCCAAAGTTTTTTTTTCTTCCTTAATTGAAATTCAGGATTTGCCACTAAGTTGCTAAACCAGCCTCGCAAATGATCATTGTACTCTCACCTGCGCAAATGCATCGAGTCGGAAAAGAATTCAAACTCAATCAATCACTGCCAGCCACCAGTCAGCCAGCCATCCATCATTAATTGTATTCAAGCAACGAGTGAATTCCATAAGTCTCCATTGTTGAGGATGGGCTTTTGTTTGCCAAGTTCGGGTGCATTATGGAGAATCCCTGCACGTATTGCTCGTAACTCACGGGACTCAACTTTTAATCACTGTTTACTCTGAACGCATCCTGGAAACGGTGAAAATCAACAAGTGTATATAATTATACTGTGGACGAAATTTTAAGGTTTGTCTTTCTGTACAGACGTGGCAACTTTTTAAATGAACGAGCTCGATCGGATCAGGGAAGCCCACGAGTTCGTGTTCATGCATGAGTCACGTGATTGTGCCATGTAATTTTCTGGAAGGAGTAGTGTTTTAAGTTGAAAAAAAAATTCAGCTTTTTGACCCTCAGTGACCCCATGATGACCTTGGTCATGTGACTAGCTGGGGCCGGGCTACTGATGCTTTTGACAAAGTTCGGTTAAAATCCGTCAAAATTATGTAGGAGCAATAGACAAGGTCAATTTTTGTTACTAACTAACAGAGAGGCATGATGATTTGCCGTAGCTACAAATACAACTCGTAAATATCAAACAGCAGATTTGAAGAATACGACTGTATTTTACTTGACCCCCCCCCCCCCCCATTTCTCAAATGTACCAAGTCCATTTCAAAGAAATTCTAAAACACAGATACCTATAGCTTTTACAAGTACATGTATCTATACAATTTGCCTCAAAACACGATCACGAAAACCAACTGGCTCATTTTACATAGGGTCTAATGCACCACAGATGCTGGATTTTCCAAAATGGCGGAAGGATTCTTCCATTCAGTTCTCGACTCTTTTGCTGATACTTTTGTGTCCAAAGGAAAAAACGAACATGATACTATATGAACTTGCATACATAGCCTAAAAGTAAATATTAAGACCAAATGTATATTGCAAATAATATATTGCAAGGTTGCCGGGCAGAGAAACTAGCTTTATTAACACTAAATCACAATGTCTCCAGCCATGAGCTGTATTTTGATATTACACATCAAGAGTAAATAGACCATACAGTTACTTTTCAACGAGTTCTTCAACGCAATGTTATTCCAACGCACACATACTACGTGTATGTTATGGTTGGAAGGATGGATCAAATCATGAGCAATGGTTCGGATATTTTGGCAAGGGAACTCCCTCAGTATAGACAGACTTCAAAAATATTGATAACAATGTTCCTCTGTACATTTTTTTCTCTCAATCACAACCACACAGACATGTATTTCCTTTAGGTGTACGTGTCAAAAGGGTTTTTGAGGGCTTCGCTTTCCTCACAGTCGATTTACCGAACTGAAAAGAAGGGCAATGGGTAGCAAAGAGCTCTGAAAGACCCCCGTGCGAGTCTCTACCGGTACCACTGATCCAGACGGATTTGTATCGGGGTCCCGTCTTCGCTTCCCACGATCTGCCACATCGCTCGGTGCCAAGGTTGCTCGGGCAGGCGGCTTCTTTGTGGAAATTTGTTTTCACCTTGTCGTTCTAGGAAAAAAAAATGTTTCCCTGCGTTCAATTTAACGGTAAACGCTATGTGCGTATGTCCTTTGAGTATACAAAAAGCTCCATTTCACGGACTCTGCACACATAAAGGGTATGAGAAGTGAATTTTTTTTAGAAACATTTTTTGTGTGCAACTTTCTGTTCCTCTTAATCGCATGCAAACATTTGACATCCCTTTTTGGGGTTGATTTTATTGAAAAGTGCACTTCTGTCAACATTTAAAAAAATGTCCATGCTTTTCCGGACAACTGAGGGCGCTGTTGCTGTGATGTCATTTCAGGAAGACACTGTTCAGTTTAGAGGTAGTCTGTTCAAATTGTGTACCCAAGAAACTGTAGACAGCAAAATATCTAAAACTCTGGAAGCTTTTAGGTGCTGAAATAGCTGCAGCATTGAGGATTCTGCCTGAAATGACACTTGTGCTCATGAGTATGGAAAATCGCATTACAATAAAAACTAAAAAGGCACCAATATACCCTTGAAAATGGCAAAACGAAAAGTCAAAACGTTGTGCCAATTACAAAAAAATCTTTAACTAATTTAATTTCAAACTGAAACATGTTGCAAACTAGGGGAAACTGGGGAAACAAACTAAATAAGTTTTCCATTCCCCCTTCAAACCTCCTTTAAAACCTTTTTGACCTCATTTTCAAAGATTCAGAAACGAGTGTTGAATGAGTCAACAAAGATCAAGTATTCGACAAGATTTACTTTGACAAGTTGTTGTTTCAAATTAAACGAATAAATTCGGTCAATCTCGATCAAATTCCGATTTCGTTTTTGCACGTAGGCGCTTTTTTTTTTTATAGTGTTATCAATAACGCATCCATCATCACCAACTCGCCTCGGCTTGTTTGATTTTTTTGTTCGAGTCAATAAATTGTCGGTGACAACACGTACTGACACAAACTGCATTGTCACTGTCGATGACCCCAGATTCGCAGATGAAAGAAAAAAAAGGGAGAAAATACAAGACAATTATAGTACCGGCCAGCAGCGCCAAAAACCCCCAATCGTTTCTGTAGATTCATTGTGCCAGTAAAAATGGGTGTTCGGATCAACAAGGACACGATGTAATTCAGTGTTGTTCATTATAGCAAGCCGCACATGTAGAGGAACTTATGAACAAATTACCAAAGAATGTGTTCCGAAAGATCCTGTCCTTCCTTGTTCTGATCTTGGCAGCCAGATTTCTAAAAACACCGTTTTTCTTTGAGTGACTGTTTTAACTAATACACCAAGTGATAGAGTTGCCATTTAATGATTAAAATTACCAGTTAATTTTTTTTTTTCACTCTTCAGTCTAGGACATAGGCTATGAGATGTTTGTAAGGTCGTGTTACATTGTAACTTGTACAGGACATAATAAATATCCTTGCCAGTTCTTTCCTGGAAACCGATGAGTTTTCCTTGAATCGAGTTTAGATTTACCAACTCACGTGTTTTGAAACGGCTTTAACTTTGATCGCGCGCATATTGGTGCGATGGGTATAATTTTAGCACAGTTATCGAACACGTGTCAATGACCTCAAACTATAACCTTGAATCAAGACTCAATTTTCTTTTCGACCAAACTTTGTCTACTACATTCTCACTACCCCCCCCCCCCCCCCCCCCCCCCCCCCCCCCCAAAAAAAAGAGACCCACGAGAATTCCAAAAAATAACTTTCGGTCACATTCCTCGTAAATTATTCAGCGCCACAATCTAAAGAAATCCCAGCTGACCTCCTTTGTCAGAATGAATTTTCAGCCAAATTACCCACCTCTCACCTGCACCATAAACTGTGCCCATCGAAACACGTACAGTAATCAGATTACAGGTTAACTATAGAATAGGTTTACTTATATTGTATTCATACGCCAAGAGGAAAAGTAGTCCAGTAACAAAAGCATCCAAGAAGTATCAGATGTGTAATTCTTTAATGTTCTCTGAAATGCTCTGGTACAGAAACCTTTCATTAAACACGAACAAAATCTGTACGTCACTTAAGCTATTTGTTTTTCATACTAACGATCATTCACAATTGTTTGCTGATTTTAAGATTCTCTTTCTGTGTTTTTTTGTTATAGTCAAAAGGACGAGAGCTTCTTCAAGCAGCTGTGGGCCAATTTCACAAATATCCTTCCGTTTTCAAGTGAGTCGATCTTGTTTTTAAATTTCTGGCAGAACAAAAATCTGGCCTGTCCTACGCCAGACCTTGTGTTGTTCGAAGACATTGTACCCCCGAATTGTTTTATTCGTTGTAAACGTTTTGGACAACATGATCGAAGGTTTTTGTTAACCTTTACCGTAGAATGTATCCTTCCTCAACCCAAACACTTAAACATCTTTTCCATTTTAATTTGTCCACACATTCAACAATATGTTACCACATTTAAGCCATTCAATACACCCAGTGCAGAGCTGGAACTGAGAAAACCGTTTGTTGAAAGTTGGCAACACGTGACCACAATGTCCAATTTTGTAAACAGATGTCACGTGGTCTGTAGTTGTAATCTCAAAGGTGGCCATCTTTGTCTGATCTCGCGACTGCGTTGAGTTCGATTATAGTCGCCATATCACCGCATCCTTGGCACCAACCTACATCGGTCATGTATGTGGATGTCCGAAACGGATCTTCGAATCTGTTATCTTGATGATCGCCTTTACGTAATTTTATTGTTGAAAAGTTTTGATTATCATTACAATGTATTATTATTATTACATTACTTTACCCTGCAGGGTATGCCCAAACAGTTTAAAACTGGTTTCCATTGGGGCACTGCACTTCAAATGATTACACACACATGTACAAATACAAAACAAATGGTTTAAAGAAACCGTTATTATATTTAAAGCCCCATTTAGGACCATTTGCAAAAGTAGGCCTACCTATGGTGAAAGTACCTGTGATGGGGATATTGTAGTGAAGTACTAATTCATCACAGAAACCTTCCTCAAAGTGAAGATATAGGACGAGTATTACATACCATGTGAAATTATTCTGCCTGAAATGTTTCGTTTGAAACTTTGAAGGTGGTTCAAATTAGACAGAAATCCAGTTACACGACCCAAAAAAGTATGCATACTCTGTATAGTATCCACTGAGATGAAACTTAACGGGTTAGAATTTGATCAATTTTGTTGCTTCAAACAAAAAGAATGCACACAAAGGAAATGATATATATAAATATACCTTCAATATTTATGCATGATGGGTGGTGCCTTGAAAGCGCAAGCATGCAGTCAAAAAGACGCCATCTTTCAGCGACGCGAGATTAACATTGCTATAAAGTTCTCAGGGGGACGATTTCAGCGTTACGGCATGTTTCGGGCCGTCGTGGTCCCCAAGAAATCGCCCCAGAGGTTAATCATGCCATCAGCGCTCATCAGTTTGGAGGGGGAGATTTCAGTTTGGCCAGGATCGTTCATGGTTGCCGCAGAAAGGAGGGTCTAGAGCTTCAGATGTCTTTTACTATAACAGAGTCGCGGTTTGCATTTTGGAAGGTAACGGTTGTTCTTGCAGCCAAGGAATCAGTTCTGGGATTGATCCACGACATTATTATTATTATTATTATTTATTCGGCCAACAAATGAACAAAAGTACAATGACAAAGCAAATATAAATCAGAAAGTAAACAAAAAATAGAAATTGAAAAGTAAGAACAGACGAGACTAAAGACTGATGCGAGTAGGAATGGGTTGGAGGGGGAAGGAGGGAAGGAAGGGAGGGTGGACAGTTTGACAGGGGAGAGGAGATAGAGGGACGGAAAACAAAAACAATATAACATTTCAAACCGGCCAGGGTAAACAAAAGTGTACTTAAACACTGTAGCCCTAAGGCCTGCCTACCCATGCTCGAAATGTCTACACAGAAAATAAATAAATGACGGGTCTCATGCAGTCATGGCCTTGATGAAACAATTTGAACACCGACAATCAAACTATACTTTCACTAAATTACCCGAAGACCTGATAATCTCCTGATGTATTCAGGTTTTTCCACGTCCAAAAGAAATACTCCACAAATGGTAGTGCAAAATAGACCTGAAACATAATGACGTCACGCTTGTTTACATGTGCACCTTCTTATGGGAGCTTTGGTGGTTCTTGTCCAAACCTGGCTCCCATAGGAAAGCGCACGACGTGTAAACAAAGCGTGACGTCAATAATGATTCAGAGTTATTATTCCTTCGGTTGAAAACCCAATAATTTGTTAACCCTTTCCAGAATTTTAAAACACTCTGTGTGCTAATACACCGGTCTTACGAAACAGGAAAAGAGGACTTGTCATGCCTAGTTCCGGGGGGGGGGGGGGGGACCAGGCGGCGGGATCATTCCACTCTTAAACTTTCTCGAACTGCAGTTTCTCAAAGGCAGGCGCTAACGGTAAACATACGTAGCCATCTTAAACATGAACCCTGTAACCGAGCAATGGGTGACAACTGACAAACCGTGACGTCAGGGGTACCCGCCTATACGGGTGACCTATGCGTATCTTTGTAGCTAGCTCGTTCCTCCTTACATACCTAAACAAAACTTAAAAATGCCCTTCAAGCACAAGCCATACTGCGAATGTATCCCTCAAACACATTTTTGGCTTGATAACAACAATTGTGATACCAAAACAGGAGGACTTCTCACCAAAAAAGGGGGAATTTAAAATAATGACAACATTAATACAACGAGGCAGCATGCCAGATGTGTACCAGGGCCATAATTATCGACCGCTCTCCCCTTTGGCATGATCCCGACTCCGACTCATTCATTCCGATTCCTCCGTCAAGTTCGCTTCCTTTTCCGCCTTCGCGCCGTCATGTTTAGGGCATTCGTGTGTTTTAGCAGTTAACCCGAAACAAAGGAAGCGATTTGTCTTCCCGGAGGAGCCGATGACAGGCGTCTTTTCGTGTAAATATACCAAGTCGATCTCGCCGCACGCAGCAGGGGAGCAAAGCCTCCGAGTTTGCTCCAACTCGTAAACTTTTCTCGGCTTTTTTTTTTTTTTTTTTAAATACAAACCAGCGTCTACAATGTTTATAATATTTGACCCTTGGGCTGCCTCAGTACACACAGGCCCTTTACTCCTTTTTCCAGGACGGTTAATGGTTGGATAAATTTTGTAGGCAAGATTGTATTCGTTGCGCCACTGCGTGGTTTGTCTTCAAGTTGTAGGCCGAAATCAGCACCACGCTGCTCGGAATCTGACCCACAAAATTGCGAAATAGCATCGGAATTCTTAGCTGTATTACTCCGCTGACGCAGCCGAAACTTGGGTCGGAGTTGCTGAGGGGTTGGAAGTTGAGGAAAAGGGCTTGGGGGTCTACTGACCATAATTCGCCTGGAGTGGGTACCGGGAAGACGGGACGTGAAGGAACGGCGATGGGGCTGTGTACGCCTTGCTTTCCTGCGCGGGGCAAGCAGATCGCACCAGGTAAATATCCACACTCTTTCTGTACTCGTCAAACAACAGGTGTGCACTGCGGATCTCAAAACAAAAATACTAAACAGAAAATAAAACCGTGGTTTAATTTACATTTCAACGTGCATATATAGCCAACCTGTAGACCTCACCTGTGCCGATAGTTCAGCAAACTCGCGGCCTCAAAGTAGGAGTTCATCACATTTTCGTAGGAGGAGGAAATGTGATCCTCTCGGGAACATAATACGAAGAGTTGAGAACATCGCGTAAATCTCGCATGAAATTTTGCCTGACTACTTGGCCCGGGATAAATTTACTCAGAGTAACGCGCATGCGTGAATTCGGCATGAATACCATGCAGAAGGGTGGGTTTGAGGACGCATGCGGAGTTGGTTCGAGGGGCATCCAAGCACGGTGGTAATTCCAGCACAAGTCACACGAACCCAACTCTATACGGGACTTGATCAGGACACCTCGAAGTCATAAAGCTTGTAAACTTACACGGTCCAATTCAGATCCAATTAGCAGCGGTGGGCGCAACCTAATCTCGTCAACTCACCCAGAACGACCCGTTGAGGGCGCATAAAGTACTCAAAACCTCACCATATGTGGCTTAAGTTTGTTATACCATATACGAACTACAAATTGTCAGAAAGGTTTTCAGGTATTTCGACAGGCTTGAAATTCCTTTGGATCTGTGGGGTCCTACGATCCATTTTTAATGGATTGAGTTTTGATCTAAATAAATCATACGTGCGCCTTTGACAAGTGGTCACGGTGTAGTCAATATGCTTCGAGTGTTGTCCAATCAGATGCCGTTTGTTTTGTGAATATTCATGTTGTGAAATGTTGGCTGATCTGTTGTATTGAATAATTGCATATCAATATCTGATGATGTATTGTGTCACACACTGCGAATAACTGCATTAGGATCGATTAAAAAATAATGATTAGGCCTAATCTTTAATTTAACACTGGATGTATATGTCGGCGCGTATTTAGTCGTCATCTGGCATGTCGGAGTTCTGCAAATCGAAAAACAAACGAGAAACTCAACGTTGAAATGAAATGTTCCAGTTATATACAAATACTATACACATTTCTACCATATTTCGATAATTCCAGTTAGATGCAAAATACTGTACACATTTATCCAATGGCGTCTCGACATTTAAACTTATCTGTCATTGGTCAAAATACAACAGACGGCGCAGGGACGTCACAAAGTTATACTCTTTCAGCACATCAACACGGCTGAATCTCAAGCGCTGCACGATCGGTCATGCACTCTTCTAGAGGGGAAAAAAAGAATGGAAAATCTGGTTCGGATTAAGAAAAGATGTTTACTTAATCCCAAGGCATTGAAGTGAAATCAAAGATTACCTCCCGATGTTTTTATAGGGCAGTCCGTGGGAGGACCCCTTTTCGATGGGCGTGGCCCAGAAAAAAAGGCAAACAGCAGAGACATCTTTCAAATCGTTCTCATGAAACATTGAAACATCGCGTGGAAAGCGACTCCGTGCCAACTGGCCACCACGTGTACAGCTGGAGAAACAAAACTGCAGTATTACAAACATCCCCAAGCTCATCACGTGGAGAGCAAGAAGCATTGAAACCTCTTTTATATTTTGCACGAAAAAAACAAATTGTGACATTTTACAGCTGCCTTCTTCTTTTTGATAGCAACCAGATTTTATTTGTAGTCTGCAGTCACTCCAGAGTATCAGATATCGTAA